TAGTGTAGAAACCAGACTCCTGTATATTTTGAAAAAGTGACTCCAAAATTATAGAAATATAGGTAATTATAAAACACCATAACAAAAATCAACAAATCCTACAATTAACCAACCGATAAGTAGTTGTTAGCAAGAGACATAACGATCGACCCTTTTCAGAAATTGATTTAAATATGCTTTGGTTACTTTCATGATTATTTATTCTGTCAGTAAAATCAGAAAAAAATAATATTTCAAATTAAATTAAAATAGTTAACTATTTTTAGGCCACAATTAAGCTATAATACCTAAAGCATCTCTAAGGAGATAACAAATGGGTAGCAATTAGATTTGTTGTTTCTCATAAACAAACGTTACTTACTCCAATGAAGGTAGCAACCCATTAGCAAATTAAAGAATTAAAAATTGACTTTATAAATATACAAGTCAGTTGCTATTTCTTTAATTTAGCAAATTGGGTCTCGCAATTATATTTTATTCAAAAGGATTGTTGGATTTTGAAAATAAAATTTGGGCCTTAATCACAAGATAAGATGAAGTTAAGATATTAATACTTTAAAATGAAAGAATTTGAAGAGTGAGTTTGAGTGATAAATTTTTAAAGTAGAAAAAAAATTTCAAATGAGTTAGCAAATGACACTTTTAAGGAAAAAATTTGCTAACTCCTTGCTTCCTTAGAGATGCTCTTACCGGGATTATTGGCTTGGAATCTGATGACAACCCATCCCCTTATGGGCACAGTCACAGTGTTCTTATGAGGAGGATCAATTAAATTGTAGTACACTGGTTCCTTATCTCGATCAAAATTCCCGAACCCTCGTCCAACAACGTAGAAGTTAAACCCATGCAAATGCTTTGGATGATCAATCCTAGTGACCAAGCTCGTCCCTTGAAAAGCGCATTCCACAGTTGCACTGTAGTAAAAAAACCTTCACCTTTGTCGCTCTCATTGGTATTTGTAAAATCAATGGGAGGTCTTCACCTGTAAAATTATACACCACAGGTGGAAAATCTGGGAAACCCCCTTTGTAAACCCCATGAATATGATAATAATAGGCTTCTAGCATGTCTACCGGTGTGGGGTGTACAAAGCTTATTTGTGTATTAACTTGATACTAGTTAGTTGCATTAAAAAAGTGATTAAATGGATTGCCTCCAAGCCTTAATTTTCTAATAAAAGAAAAATATTAAAATCAACTAGTTCATGTTTCTTTTGTTGGAAATGTGCCCTAAAACCAATCATATGATGATACTTTACGGACATTTCATACGTTAAACTAATCTAGTTTAATATTAAGGGCAAAGATTATTGTTTTAAGCCGTCTCATATAAATGTTATATGCTTAAACAATAAGTCCAAGGAATATGTAATTAGGAGAATGTAATTTAAAGAAGTTAGATTCATGAGACCATTATCTTTCGTATACATATCCTAAACGTTCCTGATCATAGGATTGCAAATTGGGTATTGACAGTCCGTTAAGATCAATACGTGCTGTGTCCTCTCTCAGGAAGAGTGACTGGTCTCGAGTCATTGGTGTGATTGACACCAAGACAAGCATGTAGGTGCTCAATAGAGAATGAGTCCACTAAATACGATCAACGAGGAGTTCTCATACTCATGTCACATGAGAACTCATGGTTGGGATAATGCAAAGTAGTCCTTTGACCTAAGGCATCATAGTTATCTTGTGATTAGGTCCTTGATCTTTGACTATGTCAAAGTCACTCTGTCAGAGGGTGTCCACGGCATAGTTGGGGTTAAGCCACGTAGCCATGGAGGCAAGTGAATGCGCAACAAGGGATCTCTAACCTTCAAACCGTTTGAGGGAGAATACTCTATAATATGATTAAGAATATCTGGCCAGAATATGAATGAGATTTAGGAAGTCATTCCAAATCACATTCAAGGTAATCATATAAGTAAATGAATCAGATTGGATAGTAGACATGAATAAACTATCAAACCAAACAATGTGGTCAAGAGTATTGTATTAGAGAAAGACCGTATTGCATTGTAATCCTAAACTGAATAGGTTCTCCACCTCTTCTGATTAGCTTGGGTAACCATGACATACTGCTAGGTGTCACTCATGGTTTGTGGAAGCCCTAAACGTGTAAAATCACTAAAGGGAGAATTGAAAGTAAGTTTCAATTCACAATCAATTTTGAAAGAGTTCTAATCGCCCACTGCCTCGCTAAAAGGAACCTAATGGATCATACACCGTGTAAGGTAGAGATTGAAGAAACAACGGAGATGAGTAAGGATAATTAAATGGTTTAATTATTTATGGCAAGGATTAATTAATATGTTAATTAATCAAACGAATAAAGTTTGTTAAAGACCTCAGGTTAGTTTTGGGCCTCAAGGCCCAATGGGCTTCGAACGTCAAGCCCATTGACTTAAATTGTATGACAACTTAATGACTAAATATTCACAAAGGCCCAAATAGCCCAATAACACCCTATGGCCGGCCATATTGATAAAGGAGTAGGTTTTGGACTTATTACAAGTTTGCCACTCCAATGAAGGTAGGTATAAATATGACTTTATAGCATTTTCTTCATTAGGGTTTCTTTTATAGAAAAGATGAGAACACAATGTCTCTCCCTTTTCTCTCTAAGAGGCCAGCCACCCTAGAGGATTTTAGCTAGCAATCTTACTTCCTCTAGGTCACTCATCTCTTCTTCAAGTCCTTCCTTGGTGTGGAAAAATTAGAGGTTCTCAACTTTGGGAACTTGGAGAATCCTTTCAACCATTCTCATCCAAGAAATCCATGGATCTAAGAAGCAAGGAATGAACGCCCTCTCCTTGGGTGATTAGCCTTTGCTTATGCAAAGAGAAATCAACAAAGGTATAAAATCTCTCAACTCACTTTGTTCTTGAGTTGAGTCTTGGTTCACCTTTCTACTAGGCTTTGAATTTCATGGGTAATGTTTGGTTTTTGAGTGCTACAAGCATGATTCCGCCTTTAAATGTTAATTGCATGCCATAGATGTTGCTCAAATGAACATGTTTTTCACAAAATTTCCTTCATCTTTTGCAGGTAGTTGAGCTCCTATAAACTCTATGTATGCACCCACACACACACACACACACACACACACACACACATATTGTATTATGTTGAATGCATTGTAATAGACATATATACAGAGTCTTTAAGAGGTCTTTAGAGGAAGGAATCCACACTTTTTATAAACTTAAAAAAATGAGAATTTGTTATGGGATGGATGTGTAGTGGATCCCACATCCCTTGATATTCGAAAAGAAAAGAGATCATCTTTGGATCTCTTCCACCAAAATCACTGGATCAAGTGATCCGGGCCTATGAAATTTAATCAAACAGCTAAAAACAGGAGCCCCTTTAAAAGTTATAATAACTTTAACCGTTTAATCAAATTTTAAAGGCTCGGATCACTTGATCCAGGAATCCCTTTCTCACATTTCTATGGAAGCCTTCTCAATATTACACATATACAACTCAATGCAAACAGGACCATTGAACTAGAAAATGGCTCTCAATTATTAGTACTCTTCCACCATGATGGATAAATATTATGAGAATATTATCCTTGGTCTGGAAAGTTTGGTTAGCTTCAATTATTTTAAGGATCTCTAATAGGATATGCAAAATGGTCTGGGTGTTTTAAATATTTTTTTGGCCAGAAAAAACTTCCAATGGATGAGGTGTAAAATGCGCTTTGTAGTCATAAGACATAAATAAAATGTAGTTTACATTAATTTTTATATTAAATATAACTTTGCATACAACACTAGTCATATAAATAGAGCATCTTCAATAGAAAGATGCAAATTTGAGATGTAAAACTCACATTTACATCTCACTTTACATCTCCTAAAAATGTAAAATGATTTCCACTCCGATTGGAGATGTAAATTTAGATCTCACTTATTTTTCTCTTTGATTAATGGACAACCCTTCTTAAAGATTAAAAAGGATGCAAATATACAATTTTATTTACACAAAGAAAAAAATGTAAAACCCCTTTATCAAGGCATTTTGCATCTCCCATCAAATTTGAGAGGCAAAAATCATATTTACATTTCATTTTACATTTCTGATGGATATAAATAAAAGTTATACTCCAATGAGAGGGATATTTAAGATTCCATTTAATTTCATTTCTTTGATTAATAGGACCCATCACCAAAAAATGTAAAAAAAAAAAAAAAGAATGTAAATTTTGGGATTCTATTTATTTTTGTTGAAGATGTATAATTTACATTTTGCCATTAGAGAATTTTCCGACCAAAAAGGACATTTGCATCTCCAATGGGAGATTTCCTAAAAGTTATATAGCACTACCTCATATTAAGGTAAATTTTAGGTCATCTCCAATCGAATTTTTTTTTAAAAATTCTAATTTTTTTCTATAAATACCTTAACATTTCTGTAACATTTCTCACATTCTTTTCACCCTTCCATACTATCTTACCTCATTTTATTTCAATTCTTCACATTCTATTTACCTCAAACACTCTTTTCATACACACCCCTCTTTTACCTCTTCCAATAATCTTTCCTATAATTTTTTTCAGTCATTTTCAAGTGGTCACACCTTCAAGTGGCCTCAAAATATGTCCGGAGGCTTATTCATTTAGTGACAAGTAGCACTCAAAATATGTTTGGAAACCTTATTTTGATATGGTAGCTTAATTTAATTAACCAATAAAATTAAAGGAAAACTAATGAAAATGGCTTGAACACTTTAAGTTTTAACGATAAGGACAAGATAAAGTGTAAAGTGAATAGTACCATGATTGACTTTTTAGTTTAAAAATATGGTTTTTCGATAAAGTGAACAGTACCGGAAGCATTTCGTTAAAGTTCCCTAAAATTAAAGAACAAACTTAAAATAATAAATTATTTAGAGGGCTAAAAAATAGCCATCTTCAGTTGGAGATGGTATATAAATATGGTCTGACACTGTTTATTAAAAAATAATTTCTCGCAGAGCTATAATCTGGACGGAATCTAAATATAGCCCGTTCGATTGAAGATTGTCTTAGAACATAAATTAAATAAGAATGTGGTGTAGCACTACTACAAGTCTACAAATAAGATACATTGATCGAACTACATAGTAAAGAATCTTTTTTTTTTTTTTTTTTTTTTTTTTTTGCAAAAACATAGTATAAAATCCGACATTGCTGACATATTTATAGCCTTTTTATAATGCGTAGATAATAGAACTTTTAATGTTCCTGTAAATTTTCTTACTCTCCCAACCGTAAAATTGACTGGTGGGAAGTTTTAAATAGTGAATTTTTGACACAAGTAGGCAAGTTATCAGGGGGTGGGCGCATACTTGTCTCATCACTTCCTCCATTCTTAACTATGAAAACAGTTCCCATGCCCCAACTCATATGTCGATCAAAATGGCAGTGCATGAACCAAACTCCTGTAAAAAAACTTCATGTTAATAACATATATTTCATTAATTAATTATATATTAACATAAATATACCAGATATTGAAGAGCATACCTGGATTGTTAGCTATGAATCTAATGGTGGCCCAACCATCCTTAGGAACTGAGAAGGTATTAACTTCAGGTGGATCAATCAAGTTGTATGTTAATGGATCAGTAACATTATCGAAATTTCCCAGACCAGATCCAATGACATAAAACCTGAATCCATGCAAATGAACTGGATGATTCTCTGCTGAGTCCATAACATTGGTTCCTTGAAATGTTATTTCGACTGTGGCATTATAATCCAGCATCTTCACCTTGGTACCCCGATCAGTAATACTATAATTGTCTGCTTTCATTTCTTCTGCAGTGAAGTTGAATAGATTGGGCGGTTCGTCTGGGAAACTTGCGTCGTAATATCCACTGATGTTCCTGTGACAAATGAAAATTGTTATATCGGGAGAACACAATTGAAGTGATTCGCACTTATGACCTCCATTAAGTAGAGCGGCGATTTATCTGCATAATCTCAACTATATATATATCATTATTATCGTCCAAAAAAAAAAGAAAAATGCTCATCAAATGGCACCATTTAATTAGATGTAGTATACAGTTATATATCATGCTAAAAGTGTGAAAGGTAATAGTACCTGTAGTATGCTTGCAAAACATCAACAGCAGGGTTGGCAAAACTGATGTTGTTCAACCCAGAAGAAATCCTATTTCCCTCGGGCCCAGCACATGATCTGTTAGGACAATGCAACATGCCTATGGAAACTGTTACGAACATTCGGGTGGTGACATTCAGTGGAACGTCAATCGAGTGCTCTGCAGATGCCAAACTCCTGAATTGTTTCACAAAGTTGCTCGCAGAACCAATGTCATAAAAACCGGGAATGTTGGTTGGATAGATGGGCGATGAAGGAGGAGTGTAGTTGCCGTTGTATTGGAATATGGCGCTAGCAATACTTTTGTCAAAGTCATCAGCCTCTCCATCATAATAAGGACTGGCAAACATGTAGTAATGCCCAAGAGATTTGTTTGCTGCGACTAAAACATCCATTGTTTGTCCTGGGGTGATCATTATGTAACTGGAAACTATAGGTTTGACATAAGAACCATCCATACCCACGAGTATGAGATTGTGATCCGCAATGGCGAAGAACATGTCTATGTTTTGCACCGAATTGACTATTCGGAGAAGATAGGTTTTTCCATAATCAACAGACATTCGATATGTCGTTTCTGCAATGCAAAATTACTAGAGATTATTAATTAGTTCTGTGGAAAAAAAATTCTAGAGATTGTTATGTTCTATTTTCAGATTAAATTTGTACCTTTGGAGCATGAGTAAAAATCTCCTGGTTCGCCGTTGATTACATAAGAATCTGATGACGTTGTTAGTCCGCCAGATTCGAGGGTCTCATCCAGCAATGTCATTACATCATCTTTATACCAGGATGCTGCGTAAGAACAATAGGAGGGGCAAGTACAAAGTAAGATGTACGACTTTAATTTATAAATTATAGCTTTGAACTTTAAGCTAACAAAGGAAATCTAAAAATTGCACAAGAGAGAGGATAGTAGAAGATTTTTGCATACCAAATACAATAACCTGTTCTTCATCTGGTTTTGGAAATGGATAACTGGTTCCATTTGCTGGCAAGATGAGAAATGCTCCATGTACAGTGGCCCGAGACCAATCACTATGAGCATGCCAAAACAATGTACCTTCTTCGGATGAAAGTAGGATTTGGTATGTGAAATTTGTTCCAGGTTGAATAGGGCATTGTGTGATATACTCAGGTCCATCGAACCATGGATTTCTAGGCTGCTTTATCCCATGCCTACAAATAACATATACAAATTAAAAAACAAAAATCTAATTAATATTCAGTGAACATCATTTGAAACAAGCACTCTTTCTTAATTACCAGTGCATAGTGACACCATATCTTCCTTGATTGTAAACATTCACATAGACCGTATCTCCCTTTTGAGCTCGGATCACCGGCCCCGGAAAACTGTCGTTCACAGTAAATGCACTCTTTGTGCTACATAACTTTGTAAAGTTGGTGTCCTTGAGCTGCAATCACAGATCAAAAACATAAAATAAAATTAGAAGAAAATTCTTTTTATTCAATGATTGTCGTCAATATATAAAATTTGAACTCAGTAATGCGATCATTAGCATGAAAATTCAAGTCTTTATAACCTTTTCAACATTTTGTTACAAACAAGTCGAAAATTAATAAAAGACAGCGAGAACAAAGCGGGGAAATCGACTTACAACAAAGTCATAGGAATGAACGTTTCCTTGAGCCAAGGAAAACACCTGAGTTTGGAGGAGCAAAGTAGACATAAGAGCTAAGAAGAAGAAGCCCGTTGTTTTGAATAAGCACTCCATTTTCAGAGTGCAATCTCTGCTCGATCTCCAAGAATATATATGCAGGTGCTTGTTAATTCTTATAACCTTGTTGGGTGGGGTTCTTATACTTGCAAGGAAAATGCTAGGGAGATGGGACCACTTGTATTGTGGACCCTATCTCTTAGGGAAATAACATCACCTACTTGCAAATAGGGTTACAGTGACTCTCTTGTATTATACACGTAGGCAAATTACCCTCATGGAAACTTTCTAAAAGTATTGATTCAAACTTATACAGAGCTTATTTAGTTTTCCCAATGTATTAAAATACTTGAGGCATATTGGGGACGTATAACACATTACATCTCTGGTTGATCGAAAATCTCTTTACTAGACAATTTCAAAGGAAAATAAAATACTCATCTTGGCTGAAAAATGCAAATAATTCTGTAAAATTTCAGTCTTTAATTTGTTTTTATTTCAAATAATGTACATTCTTCTTTTAGGATAAAAATCACATTTACATCTCACGTAAACATATATGTGGTCCTTACATCTCAAATTTGCACCCCTTCACCAGAAACGCTTTAAATTATTGTATTTGTTTTAATAAAATTTGTCGCAAGCTTCTGGTATTTCTCCATGTGATAAAAGTTTTCCTTTTGCTTCTTCTTATTTTGCACTTTTCTTTCATGGCAATTTTGGCATCTTCATTTTAAACCCGCTTTCTTTGACTGAGAATCGTTTGTGTGAGAGATTACACTGTTGGTAAAAACAGAAAATTCCAGAAAAGTATAAATGTAAAAGTTGAAAGTCCAAAGTAACACAACTAAACCAAAAAATTGAAAAGGAGCAAGCCGAAAACAAAAACAAAGGGAAAGAAGGGAATAAAACTGTTTTGAAAGGAAAAAGCGGCTATTGTGTGGGCCCGAAGGATTTATTTCATTTCGGTATTATCTTGACGAAAAGTTTATTTTAGCCCAAGTTCTACTTTGAATTTTTTTTTTTCCTCAGAAGTTCTACTTTGATTCATGCACCTCAATTATAGGGCTTTTTGAAATGGATAATAGTTGCGTTCTTTTGTGGAGAATTCACATATTTCAGTTTTTGCGAATAATATTTAAATTTATAATTTAATAATTGATTTTTTTTAATTTTTATATGAAAATCAATCCTAAAATTATTTGAATCCGTAATTGTTTAGTTATCTAAATGTATCAAATAAATAAATTGTTTGTCATAAATGTGTTGATGTTCATACTGTCAATTTGCTCTACACATTTTTCGACAACATTCTAACAAAGCATGATGTACAAGCATTGTCTACAAATGTGAGATATAATGAAGCTCTTATTGGAGGATATTTATGTTCGTTCACTAATTGGTATAATCGTTGCTCCCTTGATTCCTCAAATGAGTAAGCCATTCATTTCTCAATTGATTAGGCAATTATTACTCCCTATTGAAATCGGGACATTTTGTACTTTGTTAGGATATCCATAGCACTATATAAAGGTGGCTATACGTCACATTGTAACAGATGAAATTCTCTAATACGAATTCCCTCATCCTCTCTCAAATTATTTCCCTCTCCAACACATTATCAACACTTTTTCTCTTAACGGAATCAAAACCACTAGAAAATAATCTCTCAAAATTCTAGATATTTCTTTTGCGGCCACCCTAGCCGCAAAAAAAAAAAATTAGAACTTCCTTACAAGTCATCACAAAAGACTTAATTACAACCTAAGAATTCATCGCCAAAATCCATGCCGCTGCAAAATCACTCTATTGGTGCAATCCTTTCCCTACCGCTGCAAAAGCCTTATGCTGCCATAGATTTGTCAAGCCACTGCTGAAGATCTTTCGCGACCAATTTCGTCATAAATGTGCTGACTGGTTTTTCTCACTTTTTAGTAACAAAATTTCAGGCTTTCTGAATTTTGAGAGTAGGATCATATGTTAGATTTGAAGTAAGTATTTCGTTTCATTATTTCAAGTTCATGACAAACTCATTATTATGTGTTTAAACTAGTGAAGAAAATATCGATAATATCGGCGAAATATCGCCGATATTATCGTTTTTTTGGGACCCCGATATTTTATTAACTATCCAACTTGTTTTCGGCAGAATATCGCGATATTATCGATAATATCGATAATATCGCGATATTTTCGAAACTATCGCGATATTTTGTATGGACTCATCGGAGAACAAAGCCGGAGCAAATAATCCGAACCCCTAAATCCCCAAATTCTAATTCAAAGCAAATGAACTAAATCTACAATACAGGAATCCCTAAAATCGATTTCAGTACAAAATCAACATGCAGAAAAATCGCAATCTGTACAAAAATTGTAATTTACAAGCCGAGAAGAACGCCGGAGCAAATTAACCGAATCCCTAAATCCCCAAATTCGAATTCAAAGAAAATGAACTGAATCCCTAATTCCTAAATCCCTAAAATCGATTTCAGTACAAAAATCAAGCAACATGCAGAAAAATCGCAATCTGTACAAAAATAGAAACCCTAATTCCTAAATCCCTAAAATCGATTTCAGTACAACAAAGGTGCAACATGCAGAAAAATTGAAATCTGTACACAAATTTAAAGTAAAAGCCGAGAAGAAGAGAAGTAGGAGCCTGGGAACATCGTCTTCCTCACGAATCCAAGACGGCTGGGACAACGTCGTGCTCCTCAGTGGTGTCGACGGCTGGGACTACGATGATTTCCGGTCGATCTCCATGGATCAAGGTGGTTTAGAAGGCGGTTATCGAGTGGTGTCGACGACTGGGTTTAGGGCGGGTGAGATGGGAGGAGCAGAGGGAGACACGGACGAGAAGGATCCAGAGATGGATCGAGATTCGAGAGATGATGTCTCTGTGTGTGTGTGGAAGAACTAGAGAAGGGGGAAGGAAGGGAGAAGACTGAGAAGTTCTCAGTGAGAATGAAGGCTCAGACCTCAGAGAGAGAGAAGAGAGAAGAGAGAGATTGAGAGGATTCGAGAATATGGTAGTGGGAAATGAATGATCGAGAGAGAGACTGAGCTCCGTGTGTGGTGTACGTGTGTGGTGTGCGTGTGTGGTGTGGTGTGGGGGGTCTCGAAGTGTGTGTGTGGTGGAGTGTGAGTTCTTCACTCTTTTTGACTGTCTGTGTGGTGGCGTGTAAGAAAAAAAAAGCATCCAATGCTCCAAATTATTCAAAACAAATAATTCAAAACCTATCTCTAGCTCTCTGATCCAATGATCCAAATAACTTTTTGCAATTTCAGAACATGGACAACAAATAATACTGCTTTCATAATGAAATCGTGTGACAGTCAGTAAGAGTCTTTCACATGCAAAACAGTGTCAATGTCTGTTATATACTTACATTCTTTCACCCAGTGGAGTATCAGAGGCATTCACAGAATTTTCGTTTCTTCTTCTTCCCATACCATTTTCAAAACCATTCCAGATCACTTCCAAAGCTTGAACACAAAGGCTTCCATATTTAAGGTAAGTTTACAAACTTAAATTTATATTATTGTAATTTATACAACAACAAATAAATTTGTGTGGACTCGTATGTTAATTTTTTTAAGTAATTAATACTTGCATGTTAATTTTTGTAAGTAATTAAGTAATGTTAACAATTACATGTTAATTTTTTTAAGTAATTAAGTAATGTTGTATAATTATTCCCTAGGATAATTTTAATATGTTTAATGTTATTTATTATTTTATTTCCCTTACCATTTTCAAAGTCATTCCAGATCCATTCCAAAGCTTGAACACAAAGGCTTCCATATTTAAGGTAAGTTTACAAACTTAAATTTATATTATTGTAATTTATACAACAACAAATAAATTTGTGTGGACTCGTATGTTAATCTTTTTAAGTAATTAATACTTGCATGTTAATTTTTGTAAGTAATTAAGTAATGTTAATGTTAATTTTTTTAAGTAATTAAGTAATGTTGTATAATTATTCCCTAGGATAATTTTAATATGTTTAATATTATTTATTATTTTATTTCCCTTACCATTTTCATTATCAAATTGGATTATTATTCATTAATATTAGGTTTTTTTTATTATCAAATTGGATTATTATTCTTTAATATTAGATTTTTTTATTATCAAATTGGATTATTATTCATTAATATTAGGTTTTTTTATTATCAAATTGGATTATTATTCTTTTATATAAGGAAATTTTTTTATCAAATTGGTGGATTATTCATTAAATTGGATTATTATTCATTAAATTGGATTATTATTAATCACCATGTTTTATATTAGGATTATTTTTTTATCAAATTGGTGGATTATTCATTAAATTGGATTATTATTATCAAATTGGATTATTATTCATCACCATGTTTTATATTAGGATTATTTTTTTATCAAATTGGTGGATTATTCATTAAATTGGATTATTATCAAATTGGATTATTATTCATTAAATTGGATTATTATTCATCACCATGTTTTATATTAGGGTTTTTTTTTTTATCAAATTGGTGGATTATTCATTAAATTGGATTATTATCAAATTGGATTATTATTCATCACCATGTTTTATATTAGGATTATTTTTTTATCAAATTGGTGGATTATTCATTAAATTGGATTATTATCAAATTGGATTATTATTCATTAAATTGAATTATTATTCATTAATATTAGGTTTTATTATTCCATATTATTTGTATAATTACTTAAATTTTTACAATCATTTTCTTTACTTTGTATTTAATTCTTCTGTAGAATAACTTTATTATTTAGGTTCTCTTATTTTTATCAAAAAATAATTGTCTAATTTTCATGAAAAATAAATATAGGTACGTTTAAGATGTCCAGTAAACGTGATCCAGCTTGGGAACATGGAGACCCAATAGACGGAAACAAACATGGCACAATTTGCAAATATTGTGGTCGGGTAATGAAGAGTGGCGGAGTGACACGACTGAAGTATCATCTTAGTGGATTAGATCCATAAAAAAATGTCCAACGATGCGATAATGTCCCCCCAGAAGTGAAGGCATTCATCAGCACATTATTAAAAAATAAAAAATAGCAGAAGGAAAAGATAACACAGGGAATGGAAAATATTC